GTTTAACAAGTTGGCTCGTTGCTCAAGCCAAAAGGGACAACGCCGGTGAGCATACATCAGCACTGCCTCATTGTGTGTCGCTCTTGTTTCACGTTGATTTTGTTTTGTTAAGCGCCTCGCACGTCTTTTTTGTTTCACGCACGAAACTCGAATAAAACTGCTCGTTTTACTCGAGCCACCGAGGCGCACCGCCATCGTCTGAAGCCACAGACGCCGAGAAGAGCTGAAGAGGCCGTGGTGAACGATAAAACTGTCGGACGCTATTCACGTTCACGTTTATTCATTGACTTCACACGAACGCATTATAAACGGTTTGGTAATTTCGTTTACGGGGCGAGACGCTCGCTCGCATTCGTTAAAGATTGCACCTAGGACGGTGGAAACGCGCAGACCGCAGACACCTTCGACACGATGTGGTTAAACCACCCATATATCCACACCAACTCACACGGATGAAATACAGCAAAGAAAAATGTAATTACTAAACAGTATGCTTCACTTCTACTTTTGTGGTTCCCAGATAACGTCAAGATTCATTTTTTTACGCAACAAGACGGAAAATTGTGGTTAGTGTTAACTGACTAGGCGGTTGATTGTAACAATCACTCGTCGCGGTGGATATTATATGACGTAGGGAGCGAAGTTGCTTTCCGCGTTATGGTGCCAACGCAATGTTTCGATATCGGAGATGGTTATTGTGGTGATATCATAAGACGTAGGCGGTTATGGTGGAAGCAGAAAAGGGGCATTCGATTTTTCCCCGACGCGCCGTTTCGCCTCGATATCGAGAACGCATAATAATTCAAAACGATAACAAGACTTATCAAAATGGGGGAAACGTCTAGGGCAAGTTCGCGCAGCGCGCGCCCTTCGATTTTCTATCTCTTTTCCGACGCCTTGCCAGCTTGTAATCGGAATGAACACGAGGGCCGTAACTCATCATACATCGTTTGCCTCATTTCGTTATGATTCCTACGCGAAAATTATTCTGGTGCACTCCGACAGTTCCAATCCACCCTCAAAGAGCAATTTAAAACGAAATACGAAACACCCTGACGTTATTGGAGAAGATAAGATTTGAGTTTAAGAAAATGCAACACGATAGGAAAGAGGACATCAGCAATCGTCTGAATAAATAATAAATGCACCTCGGTGAGTCGCCCGCTCTTGTGCTCTCTTCAAGACTTTAAACAAACACATTTCCAGAGACTTACGTAAGTAAGTGCGGTGCCGGTCGGGTTACGAAGACGACGTCGCGACATCGCCAAAGAGTGCTCCGCAAACAAGCAGAACGTATGCAGCGAGAATGTAAATCGAGGAAGCAACGCAAGAGCAAGGCACACATACAGCCAAGGTCCTTGATTTTGCTTGCTTGGGAGCGACGAAGTATTTTCCTAAAGAAGAAAATGCTTAATCAATATGCAAATATGTATGGCGTACTCACGATACTCAGCTCCGGTGTAGGAGAGAGCACGGACATACCATTGATTCTCCTGATTCTCAACGATTCTCTCCTCGCGCATAAAAAAGCGAATAAATTGGATTCAATTAAGCAGCCCTCAATCGTTTCGTTCGCCCATTCATTTCCTCCACGCTATGGCCGTACTTGGTACGAATGCGTTCTAGTTCGCGCACGATTCGCATTTTGTTCCTTTGCGTTTTTTTTATTTATCGTATCGAGGGCGAGTGCACGAGCAAATGGTTTCTGGAAAAATGTTACCAAATTCAGCGGAAATTCACGTTTTGCGTTCTCAATTAGAAAACATCAGCGCTGCGTTAACCGACTGCGTGCACAATACAAATTTAACCCATTTTTTTCCCACTCGACTCTAATCTTTCGTGCCAGTCTTGTGGCATGCAATTTGCCGTTTGAAAGTTTAAACGAATGGCGGCGATAATTGCTTCTGGTTTATTTCACGAAGGCCCGCGCGGCGTGTCGTCATTGCATAAACCGAACGCGTATTGTATAATTACGATTAGAAAAATAAATTTATGGCTTCCGCGTTGATATCATCTCGGTGCTACTACAACTCGCCGCTGCTATTGCGCTATGGCTCGTTACAAATGACGCCGGCGTGAACGAAATATTCATGCGTTTAAACGCCGCGTCGTACTTCCAACTATAAAAATGTAAACTAAGACGACCCATAATAGTCACCGTCCGGATGAAAGAACTGTGCACGAAAAAAGAATAAATTAGTCGGGCGGCGGCAGTTTTCTTGCTTTCCCCTTTTTCGGAGTTAAATGGGAGAAAAGAAAATGGCTTTCTTTCCGATGCCTTATTTGGCATGTGATGCGCAGACAGGCGGCAGAAAGACAACGCACAATTCCCGCAAATATGATAATTTCCTGTTGTAGGCGATGGAAAGAGTGGGACACCGCGCCGCGGCGTCTGTCAAATGTCGGCATTTGCATTTGAAAAGAGGCTGTTCGCCGCGAAAACACACTCAGTGAGGAATATATTCGCGCGGGGCGCAACCGGCGAAAAAGCTTTCGCGCGCTCGATGGGGCCATAAAAAGCGTTGCTCAATGGTAAAGTGAAGAGTTCTTTGTTCATGACACGTTGGCATTGCGTTGCAATGCACTAGACCAGACTTTATGCAGGGATTGCAGGCATGATTTTTGCAATACCCAGCGATAAAATTTTTACTGATTTTTAAAATCAAAATCCTTCTATTTTTACATTTTTGCTATTTCGTTTTTACCTCTACATTCATCAACATTAACCGAAATTATATCAGGTACTGAGTCAGTAAGGCAATCAGCCTACTTTTGTGCACCAACCTGTTCCTTCCACCGCACAGGTATAATAATTCCGCATAAAGATTTTAATACATATTTATGAGCTGGTGACAGAGCCGCCGAAATTAAACCTATCTGTGCATTAAACATTTGAGCAAAGAGATGAACGAGATGGCTTCAAAATAGCTATGAAGCCAATCTGAATTGCGGGAGCAAGGTATAAACGTCGAACGGCATTCGACTCTGCCCTATATCCTCATTCTGTGCTGCTGTAAGAACGTTCTTTGCGCTCAGGTTTCACAACGTACCGAGTGTAGAAAGAGTTAACTTGGTACGGCTTCGTCTTGCTCGTCGTTGATCTTATTGTGCTCGTGCATCGGTGGCTCTGAATGGAGCGCTAACTACGGACCGTCCCCGGGCCCATTGTGCCACCTAAAAGGATAGGAGGAGAAGAACATCGCGTCCTCATTGTCTATAGCGTTGTGAAGGCCCGCAGGCAAAGCGCGTCGGCAACCTAGGTTGCTTGAGAGAGTAAGATATAGGGATGCCACGGACAAAGGACGTAGGTTTCGATTTAACTAAGCCCCTTTGGGTCGAGGTCGCGTTGCATGAGAAAATATCGGTTGACATTATGCGTTTGCAAGAACGCACCGCGCGCTCTCTTTCATGTCGTCGTGCGTAGCGACAACGCCATCAAGAAAAAAAAGCGAAAAAAGAAATACTACTGAACACACACACATATCTTCCTTTTGCGTACTCATTCCACCGCGCTGCGTAGAGCACATTGGGACGACAAATACTCACAACGTTCCAAATCGCGTATACTCGAGTGGACACGACTCGCCTGCCTGCACAAATATTTGCACAACGTGGGTTGGCAGCGATTCAGTGGCGAGACGTAGGTGAGGGTAGAGGTTCTTCTAATATGAATATATCGACTTCCGAATGCACCCGCAATGGCTGAGCTCGCCGCCAACGACGCGGTGGGAAGCGAGTTATGTGTTTGCTGTCTATGCGCGAACGTACCGTCGACGCCAGGCGTCTGCATCGTCGCCGCAAACGCTTACGTCGCAATCTTCACAGCCGACGCCAAAGCGAGCGCCTGGGCAATACAACGAGTTTCTTATTGCCGTTTTCTTCGGTCGTCTTTACTTTATTACTCGTGGGGTAGCAGCTGGTGGTGCTCTGGACCATCTGATTTACGACTGAAAACCTACCCTTCAGACATTGCACCGCGCTTGAATTGTCGCCCTGTCGCGCGCATTACGAAGAAAAAGGAATATCCGCAATGTTGATTATTATCATGGGTGCAAAGACCTCCAAACTTAACTTAAACTTAAAAATTACATCAACAGTAATCTCGCTTTGATGTAGGCATTGTTTAATAATCAATACCTGTTCACTTGGGTATGCACGCCTAGGAATGCACTGAATATGAAATCACATTAGCTTAGATTGGATTGGTTCATTGTCAATGGCATAATCGCATCTGCTCTGTCAGGGGACCAAAGGCACCGATCGTCTTAAGTGATTAAATAAACGGACCACTAAGCAAAACAACGGCAGGTAACTGAAGACCAACTGCGGCCGACTCCGGGTGACATTATAGAAGAAATGTCGCATCCTGTTTCTTACTTAACACGAGACCAGTCCGTCGGTCGCTTATTGATTTGCACTGGTACTTATAAGACTACTTCGTGCAATTTTACGGCCAGGTGACCCCCTCAACTAAGCATACAATAGACCCACCATGAATGTGACCGAACCACGTGAATGAATGATATGTGTATTCTAAACTCGAAAATGTCGCACAGACGACCAGAAAAAAGAAAACGATTAGGAGCCTTGCAGTTGGTTATTGTCCCCTCCGGCATTTTCGACATTTGTTTGCCTGTCACTCGAATTCATCTATTTAAATAGCCCGACGCATCAAACACACAATGGAAGCACTAAAGAGCGACCTTTTGTACATTTTTCCTAGGTTGTTGGCTTGAGAAGGTTTTTCGCAGAAGCAAACTTGAATACCCGAGCAAATTTGAAGTGAATGTACTAATTTTCTTACAAGAGACGCTGGAATAAGAAGAAGCTACTTGATAATTACGGGGCGGTGTGCAACTTGTGCCCCAAAGTGGAGTTTGCACATTAAGATTAAGAGAGCGCGCATGCCGCGTATAAGGTAGCACGATGCGCGAAGTTGATAGCGTCTGTTTTGTGTGTACGCGAAGTAAATGTTTGCGAGTAGATTATGCGATGCTCACCTGCGTTTGTTTAAGCGCTACGCCCATAGGGGATGCGGCAGCGTCCGCGTATCTCGTGGAAGACTAGGGGGATGCTGTAGGAACGGTGGAAGCTTTCCAGGCGGCGGCGGAGGCGGCAGAGCGGGACTCCTCGCACGATCCAGATGATGATGGTGGTGCGTTGGCGTCGTTGACGCGTAGATGTTCACACTTGAACGCTGGTGCACACACGGACGCTTGATGTCTGGCATAGCAAATTGAAGCTTCTGCCAGAATTGGCGATCACCCCATTCGATCACTGTGTTAGTCTTGAGGTACAGTCGAAGATCTGGGTCGAGATCGCGTTGGGGCAGCTCCCCTGTCACGACGAAAATCAACCGACGACGACGGTCTTTTAACACTTCATGTAATGCGGATTTAAATTCAAAACGGCACCACTCATTATGCAGAAAGTTTTTCGACAGTACAATAATAGTACGCCTGGAAGACTCAACCGCTTCAATAATCGTATCCGCCACATAAGCGGACACATTAAAGTCGCGATAGTGCAAACAAAGACGATATCCTTGCTCGCTGCCCTCGAGGCCTGGCGAAAGGACTTGACTTACGAATGCTTCGTCCTTGACACTGTAGCTAATGTATGCGTCGAATAGGCGGTCTTTATCCTGCTGTTCTTCGAAAGCTGTGGTCTTGTAGCACATTCGCAAACCGCAGCGAGAGTAAATCCAGACGCGCAACTCTCGGCGATAGTAGAACGCTCCACAGACGATGACGACACTAGCGAGAAACAGACACATGGTGCCGAGAAGCAACGGCAGATAGTCGTTCATCACTTGACTCTCGACTATAGCCCGCGTGTTGCTGGTGTATGCGGCGCAGGAGGTCGCGTTAAAATCGGCCAAATGTGGACCCAGTGCTTTGGTTACATTACTATACATGCACACCAACTTTCCAGCGTCTACCACTTTTCCGTAATTAACCTGCAACCAGGATCGGTACTTTTGCACGTAGCTGCATTCACACGACCACTGATTATCGCTCAAACCAATTTCGACCAAGTAGGGATTCAGAGAGAACTGCCACACAGCAAAATAGTTTAAGCGATTGCCATCTAATCGCAACACTTCCAATTGTTTCAGTTCAATGAATGTCCTGTTGTCAATGTAGTGAATGAGATTACCCTGCAGGTACAATTCCCGCAGGTTCTCCAACGTCGCCAATTCAAAGCCGAGCAACTCCTTGATACGATTGTTCTCGAGATGAAGGACAGTCAAGCGGCGCAAACCGCTGAAGGTGTGATTGTAAATGGCGGCAATATTGGAGTTATTAGCATACAGGACCTTTAGGTTTTTGCGTCCTATAAATGAGTGACTGGACAATTCGCCAAAGTTGTTACCATCCAAGTAGACTTCAGTTGCATCCATGGGAATGCGACTTGGCATTTCCGTATAACCGACGCCGGAGCATTCCACGACATTTGCCGACCAAGATTGATCATGATAGCAAGTGCAATTGGTCGGACATGTCATTTCGCAGTCACATGCGTCAAAATCGCAGCAATGACAGAGGGCAAAGCAGTGCGTTTTATACGTGCACAAGAATTGACTAGATTCGGCTTCTATCAAAGGTAGATAATTCGTCTCGCGATTGTATAGTAACTTACAGTAGATACTCTCGAGGTCCATTACACGTGGATGTTGCCGCAAGTGATCTAATTTGTTGATGCGCTGCAGCCATTCCATCGTGCAGTCACATTGGAACGGATTGCCGCCGATGTAGAATTCCGGAAGCGGGCGTTCGGGGTCAACTGGCGTCAGTCGCAGCGCATTAAGATCCATGCTGACGATCTGATTCGCGTAGAGATCCACTCGTGTCAGATTCATTTTCTTAAGGAACGTGTGCGGTTCGACGATGGAGATTAAATTGTCGTTAACGAACAATAACTCCAGGCTGCTCGGAACCGCGGCGGAGTTTACCTTGCCCAGTTTGTTGAAACTGGCGTCCAGCGTCTGCAGTTTCAACTCCAAGTCTAATCCGTAATGATTTCCCAGCTCGCGGACATTGTTCTTGTGCAAATCTAGCCACTGAAGATTGCGAGGAATCAACGCATAGTCAAACCACTCGATTTGATTGTCGGACACGTTTAACCAGAGTAAACTTTCGATGTCCGCAAAAGACCGCTGATATCAGTCATCTGATTATTGTCGAGACGCACCGCTTGAAGATTTGGACTGTAGCTAAAGGCGCCATGTTCAATACGCTGGATCTTATTGCGTGCCAAGTTAAGAATTTGCAGAGCTGGCAAGTCAGTGAACACTCGTTTGCTGATGTTTTGCAAACGATTGCCAATCAATCTCAGTCCGTACAAATTATTCATGCCGCGGAAACCAGGCTCTTCCAGGGACGTAATGACATTCTCCCCCAAGTCGACGGTGCGTAGCAAACGCATATCTTTCAAAGCCAACGGCACCGAAGTCAACACATTTCCGTTTAGATTCAAGTCTTCTAGACTGGAGCAGTTGCGGAACGCCTCTGGATGAATTCCCTCTAGCAGATTGTTATCAAACGCTAACAATGACAGCACGTATAATCCGTTTAGGGAGTAAGCATCCAGGTAGGTGATTTTGTTGAAAGATAGAATTAGTGTGTGCAGATTGCTCATCGGGGCAAAAGTATCGGCAGGAATGGTCTCGAGCAAATTGTGCTCCAAATTTAATATTTGTAGCGTATAGAGGTCTTTGAAAAACGCGGGTTCCAATTTAGAAATCCGATTGTAGGATAGATTTAACAGGACCAAACGAATCAGGCCTGTGAATGTATCTGCGTTGATCCATGCACTTGTAAGATGATTTTTTGATAGATCCAGTGCCAAAAGTTGCTCCAGATTGGCAAATAGCCCAGGTGCAAGGACACTAATAGAATTGTTTTGCAAATAAATTTCTTTGATAGATCCAGTTGAGTCTTTAAATAATTCTGAAGGTAATGCCACAACTTTGTTGTTGGAAAGATCAAAGATTTGAAGAGCTTTCAAACCGGCAAGAGCTTTATCAGCTACCATGGAAATTTCGTTGTTGTGGATGTATAATTCACGCAGGCGTCGAAGCACACCAAAGCCGTTGGCCGGAATGAGCACGAAGTGATTGTGAGACGTGTCGAGAACTTGAATATCCAGGCTGCACGGGTGCGCTAATGTGCGTGCAGTCTCGGGCCGCGGATGATCGTCTTCGGCGGTGCTAATTAAAGGCTGCGGCAAGCTAGGCGCCTTCTCGCGAAAGCCGAGGTCGCTAACGTCCTGCAGGCGGTTCTCGCTCACGTTGAGCATGACGAGATTGGTCAGCGGACAGAAGATATTTTCCGGAAACGACCAGATATTATTACAACTTACATCCAAACGTTCAAGTTGTCGCACCGGCACAAAACTTTCCGCCGAAAAATCTAAACTCATCGCAGGCCAATCGGTATTATGTGTCCGCACAGTAAGATTTCGTAAATCTCTTAAACCCATGAGGGTACCGGCCGGCCAGCGGCCCAATTTGCAATGCTCCAACTCTAATTCCCGCAGTTTGTTTAAATGCACAAAACTGCGATCGTCCAGACTACTCCTGGACATAATAACATCGCTGCATTCAATACGCAATGATGTAGTATGCTCTGATGGTATGACACTGAAGTTGGTTGTATCGAATTCACTGTTTATGGTTCGCAGCTTGCATGTGAGCGATACCTCGTCCTGACCACTACCAGTGACTGTTGGATCCCGTACCCACCACTGACAGTCGTCCGGAGCTTCATAACGCAACACTGGAATGCTGTCGGTGGGAAACATTGTGTCCTTGGCGAAGGCGCCTGCAACCGCGCAAATAAACAACAACAAAGCGAGAGCCATCCTTGCGAGGATACGAAAGCTCATCTATCACGTACTATCATGTCCCGCCTAAGTTTATTCGCGATCGACGCTCTCGAAGCACTAAGTCACACACAGTTTCACGATATTCACACAAAATACACACCACCAAACACCGGGGTGCACTGACTAGGGCGGGCTCACACTAACCCACTAGACAACCCTACCCAACAAACTCAGCACGACCTCGAGTCACCCCTTCGCGTATATTTATATACAATCATTGACTGCCGGCAAACACGTTTTTAATGTTGTTTCGAATAGTCACCTCGCGGAAGCAATACGAAAACCCGCACGTTGAATGTAGTTTAATCTTTAAGTCACACGCAAGGCAAACGTCGCACTTGGGGTGGAACGTGAACAGTATTATAACATGACTCCACACGTTTTTGGTCTTGCGTCTGTCTTCAGCACAACCACCACTGACGGAGGGTGGCAGCGAACTGAAAACTGAAAAGCTCGGATGCTGCTGGCTGCCGGTTGCTCGCCGGATCAGCGCGCGCGGTAGTGGTAGGAAGCGAAGCGAAGAGCGCCGGCCGTGCGTCGTTTTGCCGAGATCGACCGACGTTGCAGCTCGGGCACGACCGAATAGACTACCGCCCCACCTTTGAGCCTCGGTGCCGCAAAGCCCGAAGACCAAAGCTTCAAGCCCAAATAAAATAAGTGCCAGTAAAGCGTGGGCACGAGGCAGCGCAACTACGCTTCAACACACACGATGGTGAGGTATGCTTCGTCCAGAACAAGAACGTGCTTACTTATTCAATATCTATGTTTAATTTAGCGTACATTTTTCTGATATCAATAATATATTGCTATGGTCATCAAATTGTATTACAATATGTAACAATAAAGTAGATAAAAATAAAAATAGACATTTTTACATTAGAAACGGTAGAAATATCTGCGCAAAAGTTTTGGGTAGCAGTCTGCAATTTAAGTAATGACATTAGCGAATTGAGCGAATTTATATATTAGTTTTACGGCACTTCGTTCATTTAACGACATTACTTGTCAGTTGTTTGCCATCCCGTCGACCAAACCGATCGAAGGTTGTAGTTGTAGTAACGCCGCAGTTTGGCATCGGTGGCGGCCGATGGTGGTGGTGGTGGTGAAATCAGTGCGGCGTTCGGGAGTCGGAAAGTAATACAGTGCTGACCGCGGGAGCCGCCACCTGCCACTCGTTTTAGCCGGATGACCGAACCCGACAACACGTACGCTTTCTTTTGCCCAACACATTGCACGCAACGGGCATGTAGGGGCGGTTGCGTGGCCGCCGGACGATGCAAACCTTTCGGCTAACGTTTTGTGTTTGACGGTGTGTTTCTTCGTTCTCCGCACGGCGCTGCCGCCACCGCTCCAGGGCTTCGCTAATCGTGACAAACGACTGAGATATTTCGGCGAGGCGTCTCCTTCGAACCTCACTCGATTACTTCAGTCACCTCTCTTCCCTACACTCTATTATTCTTTTCGCAACGGGCGAAAAATAAAACCGTAATAGGGTAGACATTTAGAAAACGTATTGCCGTCACCGACGAACGTCGAAAAGCGAACGGCGGCACCACGCATTTATACTCGCGTTGCTTTCTGACGAAAACGGACACTTTACTTTATCGCCAATCCACCAGCGACTCTAAAAAAATCCGAAAGCTTATTATTTCCAATTTTCTATTCCAGAATCACTGACCTTGTGCATCCATCCTGAAATTGGGTAGGGAGTATTGATCTAAGCGAGTTAATTTTCAGTCGGGTTGTGTGATCTAAGACTATTTACCGGAGGGCTTCAAAGTCTTTTACGGTTCAAAGTTGGCACATCAAAGATGTTAATAGAGCAAGGAGCTGATAGTTTTATTCTGTTATCATCCATCCTATATGCTTGTTTAGTATTATTTTTCATGTACCTATACGACCCGCAGCATTACGCTCATTTAATAATTTATGTATTTGCTTTATATACGTTTACTTTGTGACAATCTCGCTGGTTACACGCCGTAAAATTAAACATCAAGGCACCGCGTGCGACGGGTTTGGAATTCAGCCCCAGCCCGGCGCATCCGTCTTTGTAAAACATATTTTCCACGTGGTTTCATTAGATTATGGCGGTGAACGCAGGAGCCCGACATCCTCCTGCAGGATGTTGTCGTCGGATTGTGCTTTTTGTACAATGCGCGTGCCTCACAAAGCGCGACATGTTTACATCGACATGAGACAACACGGACACCACTGGAAAAAAGCTTGTGCACGGTGAAAATGTATAGGAAAAAATGTAGGACGATAAAATGAAAAATACGATTGTGTTCATTGTTCACAATGCGACGCACACCTACGCACTGCGCCGCCCCCCACAACGCGGAACGAACGCGTTAACATCTGTTGAAATCATAAACTCAAAAAGTAATCTGATTTATTGCCAACCTGCTACTGGGAAGTTCGAAATTTCATTTATTTTCATTTCGACTAATTTGTACGATAGCTCGAGGTGTGATGAGAAGTGGGTGCGACCAAATAAGAAACCGATCTTCTTGCACTCGTCTTAGACATCCGAGTATATCTTGATTGATTAGATAGCTGTTTTTTGAGCACTTTATACTCGAGATTGGGAGGATCCCGCGCGTACACAACAGAAGCGTAGGTAAATTCATCAACAAGTTGACTCAGCAAGTCAGCAAAAAGGAGATTTTTGGACGAAATTAAGTTGGATAATAAATGACCATGCCTTTCAAGAAAGTAAAATAAAATAAAACGATGGACTGTAGCAAAATAAAAAGGCAACGAAACACGGACAATGGATTCGGCACGGTACGCGAACGCGGTCGGAGGGCGAAAAAAGTAAGGAAACAATATAAAAATCTTTCATTATTTCCACACTTGGCTATTGGACGCCCCTTGGATTTTCATCCACATATTTCGACGAGTGTGTGCGTGACCTACGAAATTCTTGTAAACAGAATAACCGTCGTAGACCGGACGTCTCGTGGTGCATCACCAATTTGATATCACCCCATCGATTCCTTCAAACGCATCAGACCAGGATTTTCAACTTTTAAATTTTATTTCTCGACTGTGTTAAGATGTTTTCAGCTTAGTCCGACACTGTATTGAACGAGAATGCTTTTAACAATAAACTAGACGCCCTGTTCCACTGCGTGACGGGCGCTTTGAACGGGCAAATTAAATTTCGCGAAAAACAGCCGGACGTTGCCTGCAACGCGCCGATACCATTTCGTGAATCGTCACCGACTGGAATAACGAATTTGAGTCCGAATCGCGATGCACCTACTCTTTCAGCCGCAACAATAGCGTCGACGATATGGCCGGCTCATCACGCCCGGCTGCAAGCTCGCGGCGCGGCATTAAATAGTGTAATCTTTTTAGTGTCGGGCATAATTTGCTGGCCGAATGCGGTCAATATGCGGCCCGCGCGCGCGCGCGTTGTCCATAGTAAAAATCCGCACCGCGCGCTTTTGTGTAATGACAATGGCATTATCCGAGCGTTACAGCTCATGAATCGACGCTTTTTTATTGCTCAATGTGAGCGCGCCCCCAGTGCTTTTAAATACGTTTTTAGCACATGGGCCCTGACCAAAATGTTGTATCTAGTAAAATCTACAATGCCGGCGGCTAAAAAGATACAAAATAAATTTATTTTCCTGCATTTGAATAACGGGCGTCGCTTTTATGCGGGCTCGGATTGACTAGATTTTATTATTGCCAGGGCTCAAAAGAATCCGACCAAAATCAAATTAAAACTGTAACCACAAAAAAGCCCCAAATGATGGCCAATATTGCACATGAAAGTTTTGTGGATTTCGGATGAATCCGAGCTAGATATCCCTGTTTTTTTTTGTGAATACATTTGACAGCTTTGGTGGAAAATTACTTCGCATATTCGCCGGGTCAAAATCAGTATCGCACACGTATCAAATGTAATAAGAGATTTATTAGTTTTTAAACTACTCAAATTTTGTTGACGGTGTAGGCGGCCAAACAAAACGCATTGTATACACCTTAATTAAAAAGCATTTTGATCGCTAACGTGCTTTGCTTGCTGTTGAAACTTCCTGCGTGTTAGAGTTTGCAGCGCGAGACGGGTTTTAATTAAAATTTAAGTACGTCACTTCTCGGATGCGAGAATAGCGTCTAGAAATCGAAACTAAAGTCGCATTTTACACGTCTTACAGTCACCAGATTCACCGACTGATTGACTGAATGTCTGAAGGAAGCCGGCGAAATGCCTCGTGAGCTGTGAACAGAGCGACGTGAAAAATTAAATTAATTCACCATCTGCAAACAACAAACTCCCCAAAGACGAAACTATTAACAACTCCCGCCGGTGTACGAGTGCTGGAAATCGCTTCGAAATGTATGCTTTCACTCAGAAATAAAACGTTCACTTTGTTCGTACTTTGTTTCACTTTGCAAGCTGTTCGAAATTTGTCGTGTTTACAAATTTCCCGCATAGAATTTTCGCCAAATTGTAAAACACGGACTTGCTGCAAATTTCATTTGTAACTTTCTTCCTTCCATCGGAACAATAAACTAGACTTTGGCACGAGAACACTCGTCGCATAATAATCACTCACAAAACGACCGAATGGAGAATCTGTGCACAATAAAACGACTTAAAACTCAAGGGCGGCACTGCAAAGCACTGATTGTATTTACCTTAATCACATTTCAATTTCCTACCAGTCAGCAGGTCCAACGACGGATTCCAATGCTTTACAAAAGCCGCACTTCGCATCTGACAACAGAGATTCCTAATCATTACCTCGATGGAAACCTATCTATCTGTTTAGGCTGGCGGGGACTTCGAGGCCGGTCTCTTTGTCCGCGTACGACGACACTGCGCGCCGTGTCACGTAAACAATCTAAACAATTTCCAATTTACTCCCTACGATGCTCACTTCCCGTATGCATCGGCATTCAGTGCATACTTTGCGAACAAGACTGTGGGTAAAATCTCGACGACGTCGACGTAGTTGAGGAAATCAGCGCTAATAACGCGCAGTCGTAGCAAAGACGCAGCCAACGATGCACGTGAATAATATGCATATTACGGTGCAAAACGCGTATATTGCATAATTTTAATTGCGTAATTATTTTTGCGCAAACGTAATGAGCATGTAATAAATATTAACGACATTGCCATCGCGACGAGTCGTGTTGGGCACGTTACTGATCGTTTTAATTCATGTCCACCGAAATGGAAACTGTCACGTGTGTGAATGTACTTCACTTACCCACCGATACAAAATCTGCATAATAAATAATTATAGAAATACAATATGTTGCTGATTTTCTCAAAAATAATAAATAATAAGAAATTATAACATTTAAAATTTCAAAACATCAATATTTTTTGTTTTAAACTGTTGTAAAAAGCTTTTATTTCTTAATTTGTAATTAGATTATGCAAATTTTGATTATATTAGTGGCGAAAGGAAATTAAACATCCTATATAACTTAAAATAAATTTATATTTAGTTCG